AATGAGCGACATTGTCAAAATCTATCAGAAGTAGTGTCGGCACTACCAAACTATCAAATAGTGATTGACTCTATTCTGATATTCTCCAATATTGTCTTATAACATCAAAGAATAAAACTCATCTTCCATAAGGAATAAACTTCACAACAATTTTTATCTGCAAACAACAAATTATTCAGATCAAAAACTTTCATGACAACAGGCAAATTAAATGAAATGATTTGATTTGGCATTGCAAACTGTTTTGGAAAACCATATGCGATTGTGGTCCGACATGTAGTTTCTCCTGTGCCGGAAAACGCATTTTGTCAATTGATCGAGCATTCGTGATATAGCTTAGAGATGAAATAAGCTATTCGGGAAAGTTTCGACTCAGAGAGCAATTAAGTCGAATTCAAAGAAAAACGAGGAGTATTATGATCATAATGCATTGAAAATCCTTTATAATAGACTTCTAATGCTAATGCTAATTTCAATCATTACTCAGATGCTACGTTTGATTGTTACAATTTTGAAATTATACAAATTTTTTCCCTTTCTGGATCGATAATTTTGAACAATATCGTGAAGAGGAACATAAGATGGATAGTTTAATGTACTAAGTGCTTGATCTAGATCATGATTGGATGTAAATTCACGAAGTGAATTGTATACATTGGAGTAAATGAAGCAATTCAACAATGCAACTGGAAGTGATGTGACAGAAGTGGTTGTTAGTACACATTCTTTGTAAAAATTTTTTTAAATCGGGCAAGCAGCATTAATCATATTGTCCGTTTCTTGTCCCGGAAAAAAATTTTAACAGTCAAATTATTAATCACATAATAATAATAATTCAGTAACGAAATGAAAATTTTGCCTGACAAAAAAATTGATGCTGAAATTTAAACGCGATACCTTTGTACCAATAACAATAATAGCTGCAAAAATAAAGAAGAGTATTTCTAATTAGAGTAATTCACACTTTAGCAACAATTATACCAATATGTACCAAAAGCAAAGTTCAGTGATTAATGATTTTCAAATCTCAACATTATTTATCTTCATCATTTGCATTTTCAATTTTGTTTCATTTATTTATAGAAAACGTTATCAAATATTTAAAATAATTGGAATCAAAAATAATACACCAAGCAAAAGATCTAATCAAAACATTTATTTATTCATTCAATTCTTCTCTTATTTCTTTGGAAAGAAAAAAAGATTCAAAATTCTGTGTTTTATTATATTTCTAATTTTCGTTAAATTTCATTTTTGAAGTGAAATGAAAATGGAAGAGATAGAATTTCAAAATGTCAATAAATCAATATGCAAAAGAAATGAAATATATTTCAAAATGTAAAATATATTTAAGCTCAATGAAGAGAGTTTTCTTTTCAAACTCAGAAATTTTATATATCAAAAAATCTTTCAAATGATAGAGAAATTTTAGAAGAATTTTTCCTTCCTATAGTTTACGACCTTTTTTTTAAGATATAGAAATTCCCATATAACCCATAGAATTTTTCCAATTATCTTTTCAATTTTCACTTACTAAAACTCTTACATTTCAATTCTTAGAAATTTTATTCACTGAAATTCATCATATCTTTCCAATTTTTGAATAATTTTTTTATATATTAATTTGTTATTTCTTCTAGTTTCAAACAAAAATGTAATCAAATAAAAAGAAAAATTAAGAGAAAAACTACATTGGAACTATGAGAAATACTAATATTGCAGCAATTAAACATTGAAGCATTTTGTGTAAGATATGTGTCTTTGTGGGAATGCCTTCTGAAGTGTCATCAACAACATTTGTCTTCTTTCATTTTCAACAGTTTTGTCCAAATGCTTTCGAAAATATCGACCGAAATGTCACTGAACCATTGTTATTATTATTATTATCTATTTTATTATCATCTATCTCATCTATTGCAATAAATGGCATTTTTAATAAGTTAGAATCTTTCCTTTTCCTTCCTTTTCTACAATCGATCTTTTTCTTGTCGTATCACATTTATTCCTCCTTCTTCTCCTCTCCCCCGGCTATCATATCCCGCATACCCCATGCTGGGAAAATTGCCACTTTTTATTAGTTGATGGAAAACTCGCAAGAATTAATTCATCGTTCTTTCGAATAACAATATTTCAACTTTTAGTTAGTCTCCTGTTTAATCCGTCAATAGCAGACTTTTTTGGTTACGAAAAAATGTAATAATGGAAGGGAATGGGAGTATTTCGGAAGTCGCGATATTTGACGTTCTTCTAGGACTCAAAATAGGAATTGACAAAGTGTGGTTTTTCACGACTTTTCCCTTTAAACAGTTTGATAATCTTTTTTGCTTTTGATTTTCGATATTTTTTCTTTTCTTCTTCATTATTATTATTATTTTCTTTTTAGAAAAATGCGATGTTTATAATGAAACAATTCTTTTTTTAGTCTAAAATTCATTTTTGATAATTGTTTTAACTGTTAAGTGCATAAGAAATTGCGTTTATCTATCATCCGCTGTATAAGAAAGGACTGAATTTTTTCTAAATTAAAAATTGAATCCTTCCCACAGAGGTATTTATTTCTTTTCGAAGTCAAATTTAGAAATTAAAAAAAACCTTCAATTCTGTTGTTACTAGGAAAAAACTCAATCTTCGACATGATTCAATTTTTTGTTCGCATGGGGTTTTTAGAACGCTCAGCACTCATTGACAACAAAGGCATCCGAGCAGTGGCTGTTTCAAATGATCTTTGAAATTGACCAAAACCATTTTGTTTGTTCTGTGATAAAAGTCATAATAGGACTTATTCTGCCAGATTATTGAACTGTTAAAGTACGATGTTTCCAGAATATGTAGCGATCGTTGCCGATCGACGGTGGAGTGATAAATCCAGTAAACTAAAATTGCCCACTCTTTAAAGTTTCGAGGAATTTTATCATTTCTTTGTTTACAAATGAAGGTTAATGATAGTCACCAAGTGTTCCGATATTACCAACAGCTTAACAATTAATAACGTATAACATTACAATCTAAGTTTCTTTCCCAAAAGTCAAAATAACTTGTTAATAATTGAGTTAATTTTAAATATAATGTAGAACAACTGGCGCAAATACTTCGACTGTTAAAATGAATAATGGATCGAAGATACACTTCTTTCACAATAAAGAAATACAAACTTTTTTCTATCGCTGAAGAAAAAATCATTAATTTCTAAGAACTTTGAGGATTTTCTTAAACCAGAATTTTCAAGTTTGAAAAAAGAAGAGTATCCAAAAACAACGCCCTTGAAAAATTTAATTTTGAATATTGTAAAAAATTTAAATATTTCAAAGTCAAAAATGAAAATAATTAACTCCTTACTGCGATCAGTTGACTGTTTTCATTTTGGTGGTATTTATACAACTGCATCTAGAGAACCGGAAAGAACATGCATCACGAAACGCTAGTAAAAATAAAAAGCAAAAATTATGAAAAATCCCAAATATCACGACTTCTGCCGTGTTCGGGATCTCATGATCAAGTGTCAAGAAGAAATGCTTGATAAAATGGAGCTAACTTTATGAAAAATCAGAAATTCGGCAAATTATACTGAAGTGAATTTCAGGACTAGATTATCACACTTCCGAAATCTAGCTCTAATTCAAGAAATGCAATGACTGGAACCCACTGACTCAAATCCCATTATCCAACAACCCAAATAACAAACTTAAACTGGAAGGCTCTCAAAGAATGATAAAATGATGCAGAACTATGAGAAAATGAAAATGCTATCACTCTTCTTACTCTCTCCAAGTTTCGTGCTATTTTCCTAAATTTCATGGGAACTGTATATGGCACTTTCAGATGTTTCCCTAGTATGCTATCATTTCTTGTACTCTCTCCCAGCCTTATGCTATTTCCTGGAAATAATTTTTTTCATTTGATGTTTTATGGATGCGCTCGTTGTATTGCCCTCTTTTCGAGCAATCGAGTGTGTGGTAGTATGTGTGGGGGAGAGATGGAAGGAGGTCTTCCGCGGGGATTTCCTGTAATCTTACATAGGGCAGGTTTGATGTATTACTTGGTTTACACAAAAGTTTATCGGCAAAATTCACTTAAATTCCGAAAAACTTTCGAAAGTGTTCCTTTTATTGCCATTTCTGCTAGAACTTTCATTCAGTTTATCGAATTATTTCCATTATCAGATCTTTCACTTGAAATATCACTTTTATCAGAGCCACTATCTAAGATATCATCCTTCTCAAAACTCTTATTTCATGTCACACTCTTACTCGATATTTTAATCTTTCTTTTTTTTCCTTTAGGGTAAAGCTCATTAATTCGAAATAAAAATTGCAGGAAGTCATGGATGATGCTTCTGTTAACAAGACTAATTATACGTTAGCCCATCTGATGCCGAAAGTTGAAACACAGCAGGTTGATTTTATATTAAAATTTGATAGTCTTATAAAAATGAAAGGGCTATAATTGTTACTTTTATTTGCTCCGTTTGATTATAAGCTATTTGAAATATTGTTACATTAATCTTCGGCATATCTGTCATTAGGTTTTCATGTTAATCAATGATGTCAAGAGATGAGATGACAAGAGCGTCTGATTCCAGTCAGATCGCTGATCATTCTTTATACCCGTACGTTACTTATCGGAATGATGCTTATATTTTCATCGAACGTTAATTCATTCCGTTTATAACTATGTCTTTGATGGTCGTTTTCATCCCATTGCTATGAAGAGTTTTCCCTACCACTCGTGATATTAATGAATAGAGGACTTTACAACCGTTCCATTGTTAACTGGAAAGCCTTTCAGAATAAGAGGAAGTTAATCCTATCAATCATTCAGAGTAGAGGAAAATTAATCTTACTTCGGAGATTGTTTAAACGAATTTGAAATGTATAAAATAGCGCCTTAAACATATTAAATCTTCATTTTTTTGCACACGCTTATTTGACCTTATCATCCTATCGTCATATGTGCGTTAACGAATAAGTATTAGTGGATCTGGTCTTCTAAGCTAAAAAACTATGTGGCCACTTCGTCGAGGGGGTGGCCCACGCCGTGGCGACCTCGGATCCGGTCCATATAATGGACGACCACCTGGACCCCGTGGACCTACACCTCGAGTTAATTCAACTCGGATGCGGCATCCATCAA